ACTTTTCGCGCTGCCACCCGATCGCGCAAGACCCCCTGTAGGGCCTCGTCACTGCTCCAAAAACCCCACCCCCCCCCTGGTGTTTTTCGATTTGTGATTTTTGGCAATGCCGGCGMTTCGCGAGTCCCCCTTACTGCTGCTAACTGGAATCTAGTAAATTATTCTCTAATTTCCCGGATGTGTTTATCAATTCTGTGCAATGTTTAAATAGCGGTCCCGTCTCTTCACACTTCATCATTATTAACCAATATCGGAGGGAATCAAAGAACCACTGAAAAAACTCCTGGAGTACACCACCCTCGGTGCCTAAACCTCATACTAACCACTTCTCATTCATAACTAATTGTAAAGCGCTTTTGATCATATCCATATAGGAAACAGCAATAGATAAAATAATAAATCATAACGAGATTTTTTTTTGTATTTCCTTATGCATGATTCTATCTTAGTTAATTTATTTTCTGTTTTATGCCTCGCACAAGTTGTTTAGCCCCCTTTTATGAGTTACTATATAATATGGAGGCGTTAGGAGGTACACTTTGAATAGTACTCTAGTTGTTTAATGCATATCTTTAAATTTCTTGAAGAATTTATAAACAGATATCGCTAAAAGGGTATGACATACACTCTACTTTAGTGCAATCGATTTTTCAATTTCAAAAATATTAATTTTAGCTGTTTAAATGTCATATTTCACTCGCAATGCATTCTGGGATTCTAGTGGTCCTTCCTGTGCTATAAGAAGAAACTATTTGTTTTGTCTGCACATAATTGAAACTTTCAATGCTAATGAGGCCGGCGGGCAACGTTACAAATGCAATGACCTTGGAAATGTCTACATTCATGCACGAGTTCCACTCCTTGTGATATAAAAATGTTCAAACTTGGTGAAACGGTTTTTTCGCCTTTTTATAACCTTACATTATGGAAGACACATGACTAGACCCAACCAAGGTCTTTTGCTAAGCCGGAAGGCAAAGGAATAGGGCTTTGGGTATGATAACTCATTTTTAAGTTTTAAGTAGCTGTGGGTTTCTAGAAAACCAAGAAGAAGAAAAAAAATCAAATTTTGACATTTGAATCTATAAGCAGGTACTCCAATGACACTTTCAGGTATTGACGAGAAAAGGTACACTTGTTCTTTTTTCTATAGATTGTCTTCCCTGTTTAATATTTTGATGTCAACAGCCAGCCCAAGTATTCCCCTGTTCTTCTTGAATAACGCTCAATACCAGTATGGGAGAGTGCTAGGTGCTAATAAAATGTCAGTATTATTTTTTTTCCGATCCTGTAATCATCATTATTATTATTATTGTTATTATTATTATTATTATTATTTCACATGTATTCTAGC